CAGAAAATGATAGCGAAAAAAGTGTTGAGCTGATCTGCAAAAAGAAATAAAAAGTAGAAACGTAGAAGCTGAAAATTCTGATCCTAAACAAAGGAGTCAACATCTTCCTGTGCGGAATGTTACAATTAAAGGAAGTTTCGTACTTTATGTATGTTAAGTTATTGTCGATTCTTCTGACATTTTCACTTTAATCAACAATAATTTGTCTCAACAGAGAGAAAATTAAATACATAGTTTTTAAAATCACTGATATAGTTTTAATATGGCCCTAGGGGGGTCGCCAGAATTTTTTAACTTGTAAAGGGGTCGCGTATTCAAGAAGATTGAAAAACACTGTCTTATATAATTAAAAATGCAGACAAACTTATATGTAGAATTTTTGTATTTTTGTAATTTGTTTGTCTTATAAAATTTACAAAAATTTCTAAATGAGTATTTAAAAATCAATAGGTCTTACTTGTTCTCCTGGTTTGTGCATCTTTAGTTTTAATGTTGTTTTGGGGTTCTACTGTTTACATCATATAAATATGAATTTATTTTTATTTCATCTGAAACTGTTTACTTACCTGTGTTAGAGTTTATCACTGTGTGACCATAAAATAAGGTTTGTAGTTCTATTATATTATAGTATTTACTTTATATAAGGGTTAGTACGAAATAATCTAATAATCTTAATATTGATACTTTTGTCCAGGCAATGCCTGACTTACCTGCTAGTTTCCAATAAATGTATTTGTTGAAACCAGTACAGGTGTCACAGTGACCAAAAATTTTACTGTTAAAAATAAATATAGTCTATTGGGCAATAATGCAACTTATCATTTTATTGATTGGTATTATGCTAAATTGACACAGATTTACTTCTTACATGAATTTTCTGCAGATGGTTATTTTAGTTGGACCCAATTACCAATGTTTTCATCTTTTGATGGCTATTTGTGTACATGCGTAGGCTGTAGAAGCAAACGTAATAACTTAATTACAATGTATAAAATACTTTTGTTCTATAAATATACACATCAATCTAAATCCAATATCTTAAGCAAATACCACATACCTACAACTGCTGTAAATGATCGGGCTAAATTTTGGATAAATGATTATAGATTAGAAATGAATTTGGCACTAGAGGTATTAAGCACCATCTCTTATTAAGATTAATAATAATTTAGTCCAATCCTTTATGGCAGTTGTAGGTATATTTAATTTTGTTCTTTTAAAAACAAATTACAGTGGGCGATTGGTTAACGAACAGATCGGTTAACAAACAATTTGAATAACAAAGTCTTGGAATGGATTATGTTAGTTAACCGATCACCCACTGTATTACATAACAGTGCCCACCAGTGGCCAAACAGTTCTATTCCCCGAACACTGGTAGTTCGATTGCACATTGCCAGGTCATGGAGTTTAAGTTCTCCCATCTATTACCTAAATAGGAACCAGTTACCTTTAAAAGACTTTCCAGAAGGCATCCCCTACACCAGGGGTGGCCAACAGATTTTGTCCCTGGGCCAAATTAGAAAGAACTTTTTTCATGGGCCGAACCAGAGGCTGCCCTAGGAAGATTTTGAGGTGGTACGAGATCTCATTGTGGTGTCACCCGTAGAGACTAAATTGTACAGATAAAGCATGATAATAATGAAAAATGTATCAACATTCTACGCTGTACTTAAGAGATTTATAATAGAGGGTCAACTAAATGCACAGTGAGTTGACCCTTTTTTCGGCGTCAGAATTTGTCAGAGCTATTCGGACTTGAGTAGCTAATATTGAAAGATTGATTGCAGGCCACAAATTCATTCGACGGGCCGTATGTTGGCCATGCCTGCTCTAGACAGATCACCCAAGTGTTGCATTGCCATAACCAACAAACCATTATTAATATTTACTTGAAGTTTTGTGTGAACAGTTGAAATGTAAAATTTCTGCTTCTGGGCCATGCATAGCTACACAAAATTTAAATTCAATTCCATCAAAATTTAAATTGCTTGATCAAGATTTAAATAAAAAAGTCCTCTTCATTTTTACATTCAGAATTAGTTGTGTTGGACACAACTGTACATGTCTATCAATAGTTTTAATAATCAAGAAGAAACTTATATTTATGAAAAGCTTTTTGAATAAAAATCAGCAAGAACACGTCATGTACCTCTAAGATTTATCTAGTTTTTTTTTTAAATTTCTTAAAAATAGGAAACATTTGCATGATACAGTGTGCAATTCTATCTTCTGATATATCCATACTAGATATTATGCATATATACATGTGTTAGGGTGTGTATATGAAAGTACATGTGATTTTAATACTATTCTCATGATCTGAATAGTTTTAAATTTAAAAAAACTTTATTGAAATTTGAATCTTTAACCAATGTTAACTAGAAAAGTTGAAAAATTTATTAAAAAAATATACAACAGTATTTTATATAACAAACAATTTAACAATATTAACAACTAGTTCATAAATTGATTAGTTGAACTATTGTGTTACAAATTTACCTATAAAAAACAACCCACAAGTGTATAAAAAAAAAGTTAAAATACAAGAACTAACAAAAGTAAAATAAGTAACAAAGAACAACATTTGCAACTTGAACTTGACAGCAACTGATCAACATAGACTTCGGCCACTCTTCTGTTTGGATTGCCAGCGGAACCATTGAACCAAATACGCATACAACCACCACTTTCAGTGTATTTCCAAGAATGATCCCAAACCTACAAAGTTCATATTGTATGATAATCAAAATATATAAATTTTATAATTACTTTATTACTTACCTTTTCACAGAAATTTTTAGCTGTTTTAAAGACTTCCTCAAAAGTCTCACATTTAGTATTGTTTGGACAATGATTAACACCTAGGAAAAGAATTACCATATCAAAATTCTGATAAATTTTTTAAAAGGCCACACTGAATTATTGAAATATACTTTAAAAAAATCTACCTTTAATAAATTTAAATTTGAGTGACCAGTTGTCTACACAGGTATAATCATTTTTACAAGCTTTCCACCAAGAATCACAGTCTGCAGAACATAGTGGAACATTAATAAATCTCTCTTTCCTTATTTTCTTATCATCCTTAAATACAAAAAATAAAAAAGGAGCTATTGATTAAAAAAGTTTGTTTTTTAAATAAAAAATTAAAAAGTCTTCATTATTTTAAAGACTACCTTTTGAGCCCATGGTCCAATGTTTGGTTCACATTCATAAAAGCAAAGATCTTGACGAAAATGTTGTCGACACGNGTCTTGGTAGGTGTGCGGTGCGTGCATGCTTGCCAAATCCCGAGGGTGCCGATACAGGTTAATGTCAAATGCATCACTAGTATACCTCAAAGGACGCGACAGAGTGGTTGTAAATTTTAAACGTTTCTCACCATAGCTGTAAAAATCTAAATTTGTTAAAAGTCATTTGTTTTCTAACTAATTCGTTTTAAGACCAGGTGTCCACAGAAATTTCCAAAATTTACAACTTTTAGTCACTTTCATTGAACTGGAAAAATTTCTGTCTTTATTTTCTGTACCTAGTGCATCTCTCTCATTCATTAAATTTAGTTGTAAATGATGCTGTCAAAGTAGCAGTTAATTTTTTTAACATTATACAAGAATTGCACACGTTTTTTTCTACATCCCCTTATAGATAGGACATACGAAATTGTAATATCACTGGTTTAACATTGAAATCCGTGAGTAATATAAAATAGGAAAGCGGAATAAAAATATCAAATATTCTAATGAATTGTTTTAACTCCTGTCAACTATACAGAACTATCATAAAAACATACCAGTAAATTCTTATCGGTTGGGTTAAGTTATAAATCTACTCGCGATTCACATAATGGGGCGAGGACGGCCAAATATCTAACAGGCAGGCGGCTAACAGCCCGGAACCGGTCCTGGATAGAATTGGATGCGTTATACGTGTAGCATCCACCCGAGGTCCTAGGCTTCCACCAACTAAACCGGGTGAGGTTGGTGCTCCGTAAAGTGCATGCGCGAATCTGGCTTTTTGTATGCTGACAATACAGCGCTTCCACTCCACCACTAATATTCAAATATACAATAGCGATCTTGGAAGCGGCGAATCCACCGCTTCCAATGACGGCACGCAACTGGTTGGTAGCGTTCAATCCATCCTTAATGTTATACAAAGATTAGAAAGACATTCTCGAGTCATTTTTAAAAACTGACTGGAAAAGACCGAAAACACTAAACTTGTGTGCTTGGATCAGTTTTAAGGATGGTAAATAAGGTTATTTTCGCGTTAGTTTTTCAGTCTATCTGTAGTTTGATCCTGTTTCACCAAATCTATAGGTTTGTGCCACCATTATCGCCCCACTCACACGGTGGTTGCTCTGTATAATCTTTATAAATTTCAATGAATTTCTTTCATTTTAAATGATAACTTTAGTTTCTATACGGTCAGTTGCACGAGTTAACATTTTAACAGTAGAGGATCCGGATGTATCGTAAGAGGGGCTAATTCAAAAATTAAAAATATTTAGTAATTAATGAGCCTGGCCGAATCTATGACAGAAGAAAGTCTCTCTTAGTATCTATAGGAAGAAAAAATTTTTAAATAAAAAGAAAAGAAAACTCATTGAGAGTAGCTCTGTATATTAAACTTTCAAATTAAAACTCTTTCAATCGGCTCTTAACCTATTTTAGTCGAGATATATTATATATACCGGTATCTAACGTTATAACAGTATATACATTTGTGAACAAGCGATAACAAATGATAGAAATTGATTTTAGATATTTCATGGTTTATATTTAGTCGAAAAAATAAATTACGATAATTTTATTTTATTTTGAAGAGGCATTTAATATCCTTTATAATTTTGTTACAAATTCTTAGAAAATAAGCGGCTACAGTCTAATCTTTGCTGGAGAATTCCCTTATTTGACGTACAGTACAATAAAATGTTAGAATTGAGATCGCTTATCAATACTGCGTTTAAGTTTGTCGGTTCAAACACGACGTTATTGACTTTCAAGCGACATAAGTATCCTCCAACAATAAAACTGATAAGTTCAATTATATTTTTATCGTTTATTGTCTATTGTTTAGTCTTTCAAATATTTTTAAAAACTATCTCAACAGATTACATCGATATTTGTTTGTATTTCAGTTGACCTGTACAGTACATAGGTCTATTGGCTCCATGATTTGTCTGTCCAGAACATACTGTAAAATCATCGGATACATTTCTCTAAATTTTTTTAAATCCACCGATTATAACAGGAAAACTGCTGAACTGTGTTATCAATTATAATGCATATTTGTGTATAAATATAACATTTNAGAATCACAGTCTGCAGAACATAGTGGAACATTAATAAATCTCTCTTTCCTTATTTTCTTATCATCCTTAAATACAAAAAAAAAAAAAAAAAGGAGCTATTGATTAAAAAAGTTTGTTTTTTAAATAAAAAATTAGTCTTCATTATTTTAAAGACTACCTTTTGAGCCCATGGTCCAATGTTTGGTTCACATTCATAAAAGCAAAGATCTTGACGAAAATGTTGTCGACACGCTTCCGACATTTGACGGCCAGTTTCTTGTTTGCAATGATCTAAATCAAAGTTGTATATGTTTCGATGAATTTCTTGACTTGTGTTTTCTGTACAGCACGATCTATCTTTCCATGGTATACACTAGAGATAAATTTTAAATTTGCAGTTGCAAAAAGTTTAAAATTTTTTACACTAAAAGACATTTGTTGTTATCTGGTGGTTAGAAACAAGAATTAAGAATATATTTAGTTAAAAATAGGATAAACATTGTTATCACAACTTTTGGTTGTTTTGTTAAATTTCAACAGCTATCTCAATGCTTCTCAGTTTACTAGCTCATTTGCTTAATTATATGCTTAATTATTGGAAGTGTATTTCCATTTCTATAAACATCTTTGAATTAAAATCAATAAAAATGGAAGGAAAAAACCTAGGTTAAGTACGAACAAAAAGGAACTTTTCAATAACATATCTACAAACTGAAAAAACATTGTCAGCTTTTATATTCATTAGTGACATCATACTACATAAAATCAGTATGTTTTTAGCTGGGTGATCAGTAGATTGGCTTATAAATCTCTAAATCATTAAAAATACAAAAATTACTTGTGTTACCTTGCATTAGTTTTTTTGAAGTTTATATTAATTTTTTTACATATATATATTATATACAGTGTAGGGCCATTAAGCTGCAGTGATTAGGGTCCAAACTACTTAACCATGGCTTAGGTAGCCTTCAGATTAACTTTGTAGCATTGTAAAAGGTGTGAATCGGTTACAATGGCGGCCTCTATAACGCTGACACTCAGCGTGGATAAAACAGATTAATACTGTATTTGAATTTCAATAAAATAACTTACAATGTTTATTGATAAATAAGATTAATCTTCTGTAAATAACTCTTTCTATAAGCCAGCATTTAAATATTTAATCCACAATAGTGCATAGCACATCAGTCACAGACATTTGAAATGCCAAAATGACAGTTGTCAACACCCTGTCTCGAGTGTTTAAGAGGCCATGCCCAGGTCCGTACAATCCATAGTGTTAAAAAATTGGGATACAAGCTTTGTGCAGCTTAATGGCCACACACTAAGTTCCATACTAGAACTTGAAAACTAAAAAAACTCTGGTGCAAGGCATGTGTATTTTGAGTTTTTTTAGCTAGGACTTTCATAGATAATATGTCTAATAGATTTTCAAATGAACAGATATTGAATGACAAACTGTTCACTTGAAAAAAAAAAATATCAGCAAAATAAGAAATTCTGTAAAAAGAAGTATTAAACAGATTTTGCATTATTGTAAAGTGAAAAATGGAATAATAAAATCTGGACTTTTACTGTATTAAGACAATCAGAGTAAAAGTAAACATTCTAAACAAAAGTTATTCATATGATTATAAATTTGTATTAAAATTATAGTAAAGATCAAGAAATATAGGTTATTCTATAATAATACGCTTGCTTCTTATAAACTTAATCCAAAACTAGACATGTGCTATGTCTTTTTTTTATTACTATACTTATTTACATCATAAAGCACTGATGAACTAAATGACCAAAATGCATTTTTATTTCTAAGAGAATGCATTTCAGACATTTACTTCCTCAGTGCTTTATGATGTAAATAAGTCTAGTAACAAAGAAAAGCCGACATAGCACTTATAAATTTAAAATCTGGTTATATTTGAAAGCAAAGCAAACTCTTAGAATGCTATCTAAATATTGAAGTTACAAATGAGGAATATGAAAAAGGGGAAAACCAGTAACTATTCCACTTGATAAAGCAAAAAAAACCTACAAAAGCCAACAAATATATTAGTGACTATTCAATGACTGATAACTCTACTGTAGATCCTCTTATTAATAAAAAGGAGATATTAAGTCTATAAAGTTTGTTCTGCATGGACCTATATAATTTTTTACCAAGAAAATTATTTTTTTACTAGCAAGATATTTTTTTATGCTTTTAATATTTTTATTAATAAAGTTCTCAATTAAACTTTATAACGTTGTTACTAAGCAGTCAAGTCAGTGATCACCATTTGAAGTTCTCAGCTTATCTAAAAGTTGACCTAATAACAGCTTTTATTTTGCTGTTATTGTTTTGTATGCACATAAAAATAATTGTTAAATGCATTTAATTTTTAAAAAAGATTTTAAGATTTTTTGGCTATCCACCATGGTTATACCAAAAACCTAATTCAGTCACTTTTGCATTTCTAACATCATACCACAGTAGACATCAAGATGGAGCAATATTTGGCAATTACCTACAACAAAACACTCCAGCATATATAGAGAAATTGTAGAGTTCACTAACTGCAAATTTGTGTATAGAAGAGTGATAAGAAATGACAAGGATCTGCTAGACGAATCCTATTTATCAGGCATCTACACCATCTCTATGCAAGACAGTAAACAGTATCAGCATACAACAGGATCGCTAAGAGGCCTTGGCAGCGAGGATCAAGGAAACATGAATATAAAATAAGGAAGAGGTTTTACAATGCTGCAGATAATGAACTTAAATTGGACTATTGCTATAGATTTACATATTATTGATAATTATTAGTAACTGCTTTCATTGACAAATGCAATAAAGATTACTTATATAATACACAACTCCATTCCAAAATAAACAAACATTCATAAAATGAGAAAGGCACAAAAAAAAATTTTTCGGTGCAAGTACATTCCACTCACTCAAAAAATAAGGCAACCGTGGAGAACATATACAGGTGCTTATTGTCCCCTCTTTCACTAGTGTCATAACACACTACATAAAGTCTAGAAACATTAAACCTTAACACAAGCAAACTCTGGGCTTGCTTAGCATGCACCACATGCTTAAGAGAGAGTTTTGACTGGCAATATATACTTTTTATATGAGAACAAATATGCCAATAATAATTTATTCTAATGTGTAAACTCATCAATTGTTTGCGCTTTTACATTGACAGCTATTGGCTAGTCATTTTAAGTCAGTGCAATGCTTGGGGGGAACTATCACTTGCTCATGTGGCAGTTTGACGCAGCAAACAAGAGCATGTGCATGACATCATTCAAAGCATTTAACATAAGCATACATGTATTGTGCACGGGGGCAGATCTACATAGAGATTAATAGGAATTAAGTCCTGGGTCCCCAGTGTCAAGCAGGGCTGTGGAGTCAGTTGTGGAGTGAGTGAATTTCTGGCAAGAGGAGTATGAGTCAGGAAAAATGTGTCGACTCCAGCATTTTAAAATTTTCTTTCATTTAAAAAACTTTTATTTAATAATTTTAAAATGTTTTTGTATTTTGTTATAATTCATTTATATTCATTTATTTTAAATACAAAATGCAACAATTTAAATTTATTAAATATGTATCAATATTTTTCTTAGTATTTGTGTTTATTAGTTAAATTATTTTCACTCAAATGAAATTTTTATTATCCCCACTTTAAATAAGTACTCTTTTTCTGAATGAGCCAGGCTAATTGATCAGAGTATATATTTTTCTTTTCCGAACAAGGGGCTAAAGTAGCTAGATCACACACTTTAGTTGGACTAACTTTTCTGGAAAGGTGAAATTGAAGTGCAAAAGCTGTGGAATAAAGATATGTATAATTTTAAAATCACTCCTCTTTTTCCTCTTATTAAATATTTGTATTGTTAAAAATTAATGGTTTTTATACAAATAAGTATTGGATTTATATAGTTATTATTTTTAATATTTAACTTACAAGTATTTGGGTAAATGCCCAGGGCTCCTTTTAGACTTCAGAGTAGGGAACCCTCCGAGCACCTCTGCCCCCATAAAATGACTATTTAATTTTGCCAGAGTCACCCTACTAAAATTACAGGAGCAAGTCCAGTGTTTTTTTACCAACTCTGCAACCCTGGTGTCAAGGGCCCACAAAATTTGAATTATCATAAATTTTAACACTTTTTCATTATAATATATTTCATGTATAGATATAATGGGCTTTATAATAGTCCATACTTTTTATTCACACCAAATAACATTTCTGCTTATTGTTTGGTGCTAGAGATAGTCCTATTATTACTACAACTTTCAGCTTGCCCAAAAATTTTGGTCAGGATTTGCCCCTGAATCTTAGTAACATACATGACACTATAGAAAACTATGATATTGAATAAATAAATCACAAACACAAACAACACTGAAGTCTAATATTACAATTGTTTGGGTAACTATGCCTTGAATTTAGTCTGGTTATGCCAGACTAAAGTCAAGGCATAGTTATCCAAACAAGTGTAACAGCACTTTGCACTGGTATCAGCTGACAAGACATTTGCAACATAAAACATTTATTATTATTTACTATTAATAATAATAATAACAACAACAACATAATAATATAAAACCACAAGTTCTGGTTACCAGAAACTTTAAAATCAGAAATGTTTTCAAATTAAAATTCAATTTCAAAATTGTCATTTTTACATGGGTACAATTCATATGGGACAGAAGGGATATAGCCCTCAAGTATTTTGTACCAACTAATTGTCACCTAAAACATTTTTATTTTGTATATGCACTCAAAACCTTGTTGAGTGCACTCAAAAACTTGATGAGAGTAAGATATTTTTCTTACTCTCATCATTGGCCCATCTCCAATACTCATACAGATTGAGTTTTGAAATTTTTTAAAATTAATCATCTGTTTATTCCGTCAGCTGAGGATGAAGTAAAGGCAGAAAACAAACATTCTCATTAAATATTTTTTGGCAATTCTAAATTTTCAATAAGTACTTAATCATAAAAAACCATTTGCTATCATAATGGAGCAGTTTTGTGAAAATTACTAAGTTACATATAAAAAACACTTCATAATAGTTTAAAAGTATAAATGTGGAGAAACATTGTGGAAATGAGGAACTGAAGCAGAATCATAAAATAAAAAAAAAAAAATATCACAATAATCCAGAAGCACTGGCAAAATTTTAAAAACGAGCCAAAATTCATGATTTTATATTGTGTAAGGACTATTCCGGAAAAAAAATTCCACAATGAAAATTCAGTAAACATTTTAATTCCGAACTTAACATGGAACAGCATCTTTAGCACAATTTTTAAAAATTTATTTTAAAAAGATGTGCTAAAAGATGTTTTTTATATTGTCAATACAGTATATTACTGTGATTTTCAAAAGTACAAACAATTAATACATTACTATGCAATACTTTATATAGTAAAAAGGACTGCAAGTGGCATTTACATTTTTTTATAATTATTAAAAAATAATAATAATAAAAGCATAGCTTTCAGCAGTGAACAATGAAATTTTTTGTAAAAAAAAAGTACTCACTCATTTGCATATTTAAAAGTGAACACATGAAGTTGCAAACATCTTATATGCAGTTAGATGAGTTGCTTAGACTTAATTTTAATATTTTATAAAATCTAAAATTTTTATTTTTGAAGATAAAATGCATATTAGCCACATTTCCATTTATTTTGTCAGTTTGGATTTTATCTTGATGGGTTCCTAACTGTAACGAACACCGAAAAAGATCTTATTTATATTTGTGAGAATTCAAAACCTTTTAAAAACAGTCTTTAAGAGTAGAAATATTTCTTCAGTTCGGGAGGAAGAAAGAAAAAAAATATATATATATGATCTACCCAAACAGCATTCCTGGAAAGAGGTCAGACTTCTTTTTTAGCATTAGAGCAACCTACTATAGATAATTACTGTATTGATTTTAACGAGTTCGACTAGAATCTCGCTGTAGGGAGAGATTATATAACCATATCGCACAGAAAATACTTAAAAATAGAGAACGACTTACTTGACGATATAATTTGGATTCGGGACCGGGTTTCTTCTTGTGATATTTAGCATCCAAGCACCAATTGAGCAGTTCGTCGCGGTCCCTCGATAACTGAGCCCACGTCTGCGTACAAATGGTCAATAACAGAATGCACGTAAGCCACATACCGGCCGACAAAGAAGGGAATGTACAACGTGACATCAGGAAAAGGCGCGCGACTAACAATCCTCCAATCACGTTCGCTTTCTCTTTCCGCTGCTCTGACAGGATTCGTCTCTATTTATAGTATTTACGCCTGCGCCATCAACACTGCGCAGTCGTTCTCACTCGTCTATAATCTAATTGTTTGTTTATCGTTTCATTTATTATTATTATTATTATTATTATCATTATTAAATTAATTAACATTATAATAAAATTGGAAGCCAATGGAATTCACTTCGTTACAATAAAATAAAAAAAATAAATGACGCTATCGGAGTGTCAACAACAACGTAAAAGCACGTTGGAGCTCACGTGTATTTACGTAATTAATTCAATAAAATGAATTAATTATTTCTATATTTACAAAAACGATGTCTCGAGACCAATGACAAGCGCCTCCACGTAACAAAGATCTCAATTAAGAGCCTACTTACTCCACGATTCAAATTATTTACGATAAAATATCAAATAATTTAAATATTCTAATGTCCACTATATAATTAATTAGCTTATTTTAAAATTTTTAATATACTTTAATATATTATCTATATTATGTTACATAAATAGAATACAATTGTTTCGTACTATTAAACAGAATACATCGTGTTATGAGGAGTGGAGGTGTGAGGTGATGACGTCACCAGTCCGGTGCGGTGGAATATAAATTGTTGCCGAATATAAGTGATTATACTCGGACCATCGGGATATTCTGACACCACTCGGCAGTGCCGTAACTAGCCATTCCTGTGCCCTGTGCAAGAATTTGCATTTAAGCCCCTTAATTAATTAGGTTTGGGAAAATAATAAAACAAATACATGCATTTTTGGTCCCCTTCCAAGTGGACCCTCTGCGGGTGCACCTGTTGCACCTGTCTAGTTACGGCACTACCACTCAGGATATTCCTGTGAATCAAAATCGTAACGTGAATCAAAAGCGTAACTTAATCGTAACTTTCACCCCAAGTACCCAAACGAGCAGTCTCGTTTGGGTACTTGGGGTGAAAGATTGAAGGGAGGAATTAGATGAGAGTCGGTTGGATCACTCATTCGATTTAAAATAAATTGTTATTTATTATAGATTCTAACATATTACATTAAGATTCTAAACTAATTATCTACTTAACTGAAGTTGAGAGAGAGTGTTAGAGGATTTCATTCTCTGTAACTCAATATATCTTTACGTCCTTACATCTTATATCTAAACCCCACGTTGATTATACAATAAACAATTAAAGTCTATCTTGGAGGAATGTTCCAAATGTTGCGTAGGCGTAAGTTATGTTTGATCTTACAATGGGTCGATGCCACAGACGATTTCCAATTAGTCTAATGATGAAGGGATGCATTAAATGATATTCTTGTGGTTGGGAGATTATTTTCCATGTCTTGAGGATTCTGTAAGGAAATCTCTCTGTAAGTTGACTTCGAGTGAGAGAAACTCGACTGGATTCAATTAAATAAGAGTAGAACAGTACGACCAAATTTTGGTAAGAATTATAGATTTTCAGACTCGAATTATTCCATAGATAACGGTTCCTAAGAGAAGTAGTGACTAACAAAATCAAGGAGAATGTATCACTCAAACAGGAAGTTGACTATCAGATAAAATTATATTAACTTCCTCCTAAATATTAGGTCTAACCAACAAAGTTAAATTCTTGCAAACTTTTACAAAATTCTAACATTTTAAAAAGAACTTTTACAAAGTATTTTAAAATAAAGCTCAGGATCCTCACAATGTAATGTGTCATTGCCATATTCAAGAATTAGGTAATCTCGTTCCCGCTTTATTGATCTTTCAATCTTAATCATCTCTAATATATTCTATGAAGATTGCCAAATTTCTACGATTGAATTAAAGGACACTTAAAACCGATTATTGCTATCACTCTCCAATTTTCACTCTACCCCGTTCCACCCCAAAAAAGTAAAATTGGATGTTTTTCAATTAATAACTAAACATTCATTTTATATCTTTTAGATTTTGATTTAAAAATTATAATATTCATATTGACTATAAATATTCGCGAGTTTTAGTTTCATTTAGAATTTAAAATATTTAATAGAAAATCATAGCTTTCTATGGAGAAGAATATAGATTGAAATAAAAGGATAGACACTAGAGCGTTATAGCTTCGTTGGGGCGAGACAAATTTGAATTAGGTGGCTCCATGTGCAGTGTTATGTTTTGAGTCAAACACTCAACACTGTATGACTCCAAACATTTTTTTTTCGAGAGAAATCCGCGGTATTCTTTTTTCACACTACCTTTGGCAGATAAAGTTCTGCGCTGTCAGTGCACCCAAGCAATCTAGGATCTCCAGATATGGCCAAATTTTAATTTTGATATTCTTACTACAGTAATGAGTTTATAAAATATTGGTTTGGTGTCCCCTGTTGGTGGGACCCCAGGCAATTGCCCTTTTTGCCCGTAGGATAACGCACCACTGATCGGCACAATGCCTGTCATCCCGAAATCCACCATTGTCATTATAAAACACAAGCATTGAAGAATGAAAATAAAGGACAAATTTCGTTACTTCTCGTTTTGGTAAATGACGAGGACAGTTTAGCTGAAATAAATGATTTTCCTTTGAAGTAAAGACATATAGCGGTAGGTAACAGTGAGACATTCGAAATTTTCTATAAAATCGAGTGGTTTTAAAGCTATAAAACTATTATGGGATACCGAAAACTTTATACATAACGACGGAAATATGATTTTCGTGAATATGATGCTCTCTGTGGAAAAACGCAGCTACCAAACAGCGAGTCCAGTTTATAAATTTCTGACATTTGGTTAACATCATTTTATCGTCACCTGGCGCGTTTTCGACAAGGAAACTTGATTCCATAATTCCATATTTTTTTCTTACGTTATGTAAACATGGATTTAGAAAAGTGTAAATAGATTAGGGAAGTCTCATTGTTGCCCACACACTGTTTTATAATATGTGAGTTCAGATGTTGCATTGAAAAACGTAATATACAATTGTCTATCATATAGACTACTCTTGTTTATTTTTGCATAACATTTGTGTAATTCCAAATAATCTGAATTGCCCTGGAATCCAAAACGAAAAACATCAATCAGATCATTTTTGGATGATTCTAAGAGAGGTATAGCAAATCAGGTGCTACAAGAAAGAAACCTAAGATCAATGGCTAGGGGAAAGGTGTGTCATTTCAAACCTTAGCACAGCGCTGTGCTAAGGTCTGAAATGTAGAGATTACTAATATGGCTGTAGAGATTTGCGTATATCTCAATAATAACTAGGTTTTTTCTAGGAAGACGAAACTGAGCTCCACAGCATAGAAAACTAAAACTAAAATAATACTCAATATTGATGGCTTATTTAATAAATTTAATAGAAGGCTTATTTAAAGATGGCTTATATAATAGGCATCTCCATTTCAAACGCTCATAAAATGAAAAATGCACCGAAAAAATCAACAAATACACTCCACTCGCCCAATAAATAAGGCAACCGTGGAGAATGGATAAAAAAGTGCTTATTGTGCCCATTGTCCTCTCTTCCACTGGTGTCATACCACATAAAATACAGAAAGCTAGGATAATGAACACATATCATTGATACATCATACCAATAACACGGAAGCCTAATGTTACACTTGTTTGTGTAGCTATGCCTTGACTTTAGTCCGGCATAGCATTTGGCGCTGGTATCAAGTGAGCCTGATATTTGCAACATAATAATTTGGTAAAGCATCATTGAGATCAAGAACTGAAGCAGAATCATTCAAAAATCCACAATAATCCAGAAGCATTAGTAAAATTTAAAAATGAACCAAAACTATACTCATTATTTTATAATGGACAAGAACTATTGTAGAAAAAGATGTCCATGTATTGAATTAAAAATGAAAACAAATGGATCAAATTAATATAATTACTAACAGTATTTAATATAATCAGATTTCAATATGTGAAAATACCAGTATCATAAAGTGCTCAGCAAATCAATAAACAGAAACAAAACACCTTTTTTGTTGCCGAGAAATACGTATAATTGAAAAAAACAAACGTTTTCAGCCCAATTAACAGGAAATTGGAACGAATAAGTTCCATGAATAGAATACAAAAATTTAAATCAAAAATTTTTGGAATAACAAAGGAAGAACGTATAAAAATATAAAAATAGATAAAATTAAGTTAAAACAAAAACAAAAATAAAATAACATAACTCTTCAAATATAATTAACTCTGGTCAGTTCATAGTAAATTTCTTAACCTTGAACTTCCACGCTGACGGCAGGCTTTCGGCATCTCTCGAATTTAAACAGCCCTCTCCCAGCCTACTTCTATATATTTCAATCTTCTCCGTGGTCATTGCTAAAGTTAGGGAAGACAAGGGTTTGATAATGGTTGCCTCGTCCCACTTTACCACAGAGCCTTGGGCCTGCGCCATTTGGGACAAAATCGTTGCATTAGACCCTTTTTTTTATGGTAAATCTGTGCTCCCTGAGCCTTACGCCAAAGTTCCTGGTGGTGACGCCGATATAGTCTTTTTTAACATTCAGTTGCAGGTTGAAATGAAAAAAAAAAATAAAGCAAGTATGACAAAATAAAAGATGAAAAAAAGCAAATATCGGAAGACACTGCGAATTATTTATACATAGACTAAATGGATATTGAACTATGAGGTAAAACTTATTTAGGCTATAAAAACATTTTATTTTCTGATGACCATTTCTTGTTTCTGCTGATTATAAATGAAAAATTAAACATTGTCCTCTAAAAATATAGATTATATGTGATTTTGTTTAAAAGCTTTCCACTCGGGAAAGGAATTTCTTAATGTAAACTCAACGCGAAGAAAAAATAATAGACGTAAAGGTCGGTCCGGGAAGACGAACTTTGGCTTAGATGCTCGTAAATAGGACAAAATTACGGCGAACTCGAAGTGCTATAAAATATTTCGATCAATAAATAATTATCGTGAGATGTCTTATAGAAATGTTTAACAAGAGAGAAAACAAAACTTATAGAAATACGAGCAAAAGTTCCAAGGTTCGTTTAAACATCCCGTCGTCCAAGATCGAGATG